GATTTGATGACTTGCAAATCGAATAAGTTTGACACTTGCTTGGTCAGTGGGTCAGGGTAGCTTCCAAGTAGCTTCAAGCCCGGCATATCACAACCCAGAAAACAAGGCCCAGAAAATATGTGAGGTGAGATTAGAAAAAAAAACTTTCCAAACCACCACTGACCACTGTTTGACAGTTTCATAATCCATAACATTGATAATGTAAAAAGCTACCAGGTCTCTTGTTCCAGTTCTGCCTCACAGCCATGACAATGATTTGGCTCTGTATATGTCTACACAGTCTGGTTCATTTTCTCTTCATGTATCTATCTTAGCCCCTTGCAGCTGGTCGCTCAGTGGCTCAACCATAGATATTTATTGAAGTGTTTACAGACAAAACCTAGTGCAGGGTCCTTAGTGGCCATGTGCAACATAAACCTCATGGTCCAGCTTCCAGGATTCTTGAGGTCCCTCAAGAATATGATGGCATAGATCCAGACCCTTCTCCTAAGATCCCATGACAAATAATAAAACTGGGACTGAAGGTCTGCATTCTGCAGGGTCTTCCAGCATATCAAAATTTTGAGGTCCTGACCCCCTGGGTTTCCATGGTTTCAGGGTTTCCATGGTTTCACGGCATATGAAATGTTGAGGTCCTGGGTTTCTATAAGGTCTCATGTTGATGTCACATGAAATGTTGATGTCCTGGGATTCCAAGGTCTCGCGGCATATGCAAATGTTGAGGTCCTGGGATTCCAAGGTCTTGCGACATATGCAAATGTTGAGGTCCTGGGATTCCAAGGTCTAGCGGCATATACAAATGTTGAGGTCCTGGGATTCCAAGGTCTCGCGACATATGCAAATGTTAAGGTCCTGGGATTCCAAGGTCTTGCGGCACATGGATGTTTTAAGGTCCTGGGTTTCCAAGGTCTCACGACAAAAATGACAATGCAAGGTCCAGGATCCATCAAGGTCCCAGACCTTGGACTCTGCGAACCCTGGATCTCGGACCTTTTTGGGACCTTGGCACAAGTCTGCCTACCACTGATGCTAGCAGTATCAATTTAACCTCTTTTGACATTGGAAGAGGTCGGGCGCATCACGTACCTACCTAATGCAGAGCGGAAACTTCCGCCATCTCGAAAGGAAGATGCAAGGTAAGTTTTAAGGATGCAAGGACAGACGTGGAGGAAAGCGGATAGCGGCCCCTCTGACTGCAGCCTCCGTTTTTTTTTTTTTAACAAACGTGAGCTATGAAGCCTTATGATCGATCTGACTTTTTTCGTTTTTTCCACTTCCATGCTTTTTCGCATGATAATGAACTCTAGATTTAACTCATATAGGTACCTAACATTACAATTAACAGTACACACTACACATCCATTCTTCATTCATTCGTAAAAAGGCGCGTAATCTGCTCATTTAAAACTTCGCCCGAGTTAAAGGTAGTGTGCCAGCTTTCTTGGACCATATGGAGTTAATGACCCGGATAAGGAGAACCGGATTTTTAGAACTTATCCATACCTTCAAAACTCATGGAAACGTCTTAAATTCTTCAAATTTTGAGTACCCCAGTGCGAAATTCGCCCCGACGGGTTGTCGGTCGTACCCCAACCCAGGCGCGGATACAAGGGGGGGGGGCCATGGGGGCCATGGCCCCCTTGGCCGATTTTTTTCAAAAATAAAATAAAAAGTTAAAAAGTTAAAAAGCTGAAAAGGGGGCCTCCTGAAAATAAAGTGGCCGAAATCCGATGAGTTTTTTTTTAACCTACCCACTTAGTTATTTCTTAGAAGACTAGCTGAGAAAACTTCTTTGTTAGAAGATTGGTAAAGCTTTTCATAACTTGGAGGTCTCTTATACTCACAGAGATGACCACTTTTACAGGGCCTCCTAACCTGCACAGAGGGCCTCCAAGCCTGCACAGATGTTGAGATGTTGCCTGAACAGCTAGATAAGCTCAATAGACGCAGTTTTTTTTTTTTGGGGGGGGGGCAACAAGTGGGAAGATGGGGCCTCCAACAGGTGGGATTATGGGGGGGGGGGCCCGACTGGAAAAAAATGCACGCTTTCGTCGAGAACTCGAGCGTAGTTGGGCGTTTGCGCCGAAAATTTTCGGCGTACTTCGGCGTAAATCGACGGCTTGCGCCGAAATTTTCGGCGTACTTCGGCCGTCGGCGTAAATCGCGAAAAAAAAAAACGTCCGGGGGTGGCACCAACCCCCGGCCCTCGGCCGGCGAGGGTTAAATGTCTTCGGGAGTTAAACATCTTAAATATCACTTATCTTGTCTCGTGTTCGTCTCAGGGTATTTAAGTCATGTTCAGTGAACCTGATTGCGACTCTCCCACGGCGGGAAGTTGGAACAGTTCACCGATCCAGAGTGAGGTTATGGATTGTCGGATCCCCTAGTTCAGATAACGTATGCTATCGTGTGCGTATTGACCGTTGTGATTCCTGTATTTCCGGCGTGTGGTTTGTGAGCGGACGCTGGCAATCGGTCCCGCGTGGCCTGGTATCTGCCCGATCCCATCGGCCGTGCTTGCACCACGCCTGTTGAAGGCCCCGTCAGGCGTCAGTCACCGGCTGGGCACTACTGCTGATCAGAGCCGGGCAACAAAATAAAGGTTACGTTATGAAACATGCCAGTGAGTTTGTGAGTCAGGATATTTTGTGATAGCGAACCCTGGTGCTCGGTCCCGCATGGCCTGCTGATGTCTTTTGTCTGCCCGATCCCGTCGACCGTGCCAACAACCGTCTGTAGACAGTAGTCACTGGAAGACAGTCACACACACACACGCCAGCCCCCCCCCTCGACGAAAAGTGCGTGGCTTCAGCCTGCAGCCATCAGTAAGCCTTGAAAATTTTCGGCGCATGAAGCATGGCTTGGTAAAATAATTTCGGCGCATAAACCCTTGCGCCGAAATTTCGGCGCATCACCTCCGCCGAGAACTTCAGCGTAGTGGAGGCATTTTTTCCAGTCGGGGGGGGGGGGCCTCCTGGTTTCTAATGGCCCCTCCCTTGGAGATTTTCTGGATCCGCCCCTGCCCCAACCACATTTCACACCACTATGAACAATAAATGCACACACTAAAATCGCTATTACCGATAGACTCATCCAATCAAGTTTCGATAAACCCGTTCATCATCATCTCCTGCGGTTTCGAACACGCCTGTTAGGTGGCTTCTGATGCTCGACGAGGTCGGAATTTCCAAATACGCGTGGTGCGTCGGGCCGCGCACTCTGACTTCGGCCAGGAAAAATGCGTCAGCTGATCATTGTCATTTCTGCCACTTGCGTGTGGTGAAATGGGGTCATAACTTATGAGACGGCTTTTTCATATCAATTATTTTACATAAAATCATATCTCAAACCATAAATAATGTTCGACAGCCAAATAAAAGAAACAATACCAATACAGGCTTACAGTTTAAGGCTCGACATTGTGTTGTCTACGATTAGACAGCTGATAACTCATTCCCGTACGTCGTATGGTCGTAACACTATAATGACCTTTGCTTATTGTCACATGTGCGCCGCATTCGCGATTGTTGCCGACACTTGGCCGACGCCTGTTTGCAGGTGAGCCCACTTCAGTTGTTATACATATCGAAAAACCGATAAACTTTTTGGCGAAAAAGGCACTATTCCAGGCCCATTTTTGATTTTTTTTTTGCGATATTAGGTAAAAACAGAAGCTTCTTATCCTAGGAAAAATAAAATGGGAAATCTTTCAAAGGTGGCACACTACCTTTAAACGCTAAATAATCAGCGTCAGCGTCAGCGTCTCTCCGCCCTCTCTCTCTCTCTCTCTCTCTCTCTCTCTCTCTCTCTCTCTCTCTCTCTCTCTCTCTCTCTCTCTCTCTCTCTCTCTCTCTCTCTGTCTCTGTCTCTGTCTCTGTCTCTGTCTCTGTCTCTGTCTCTGTCTCTGTCTCTGTCTCTGTCTCTGTCTCTGTCTCTGTCTCTGTCTCTGTCTCTGTCTCTGTCTCTGTCTCTGTCTCTGTCTCTGTCTCTGTCTCTGTCTCTGTCTCTGTCTCTGTCTCTGTCTCTGTCTCTGTCTCTGTCTCTGTCTCTGTCTCTGTCTCTGTCTCTGTCTCTGTCTCTGTCTCTGTCTCTGTCTCTGTCTCTGTCTCTGTCTCTGTCTCTGTCTCTGTCTCTGTCTCTGTCTCTGTCTCTGTCTCTGTCTCTGTCTCTGTCTCTGTCTCTGTCTCTGTCTCTGTCTCTGTCTCTGTCTCTGTCTCTGTCTCTGTCTCTGTCTCTGTCTCTGTCTCTGTCTCTCTCTCTCTGTCTCTCTCTGTCTCTCTCTCTCTCTCTCTCTCTCTCTCTCTCTCTCTCTCTCTCTCTCTCTCTCTCTCTCTCTCTCTCTCTACCCAAAAATAAACCCACTATTTCTACACCCCTTTATTGTCATGTCTTTAAGTACAAGTGACACCCGGCACGCCCTCTATCACAGCTCCAGTTACTGAGCACATCGGACCGACATTATCCACACGCTGAGCGATGCAGCGACCCAACATAGCACGTCCAGGGTCTTGCCCGTAGGGCGAATGCTAAGATCAACGGGTTGACAGTTCGGAGGTGACAGTCACTCTACAAGCGTCAGTACATCAGCATAGGCAGTGAGGCACCCTTGTCACGGGATAAGTCGGATACGACTTAGAACAGTTAGTGGGTAATTGTGGTCCATTTGGCAACACAAACAACTCGCCATTCCAAATACAGAACATTGTGACCAAACGTTAACTACGGTTCAGAAAACCAGTGAAAGATTTTTCATTGAAAACATCAAACCCAAAAAATGTTAAACAATGGACATTTCTTCTGGTAAATAAGATAAGCCCACGCAAACGAAGTCACGCACTTTCCCGTCGATTTGGCTTATGTCACGGTGGGTCACACATTGAAAACAAACAATGATAGATAAGAACACCTTGTCGTTTACACAACACACCTAATCTGAAAAGACTAACTCATACCGATTAGCAATGAGTTCAAATAAGTAAAACCCAAAAAGAACCGGAGAACAGCCTCCGAGTTCATCAAATAAGGTAACTTGCCATCTAGCGCCAGTTACGTAGCGAGAAGCTTTCATAGATGGCGCCAAACCCCAGACGCCACATACCTCCACTAAAGCTATACGCTAGTAGGCTGCAACAGCCCCAGAAGCTGGAGTGTCAGTAAGGCCGGCCCGACATACGATACCAGCTGTACCAGCGGCTGGTCGGAGCAACCACCTCGTTCTTGGACAGCTCGATCGTGAATATCTCCACCCTGGAATGGTGGCGGCCGGCTCCGGTCAGAGCTTACGAGCTACTGCGGCGGTAGAGCGGTGGCTGTTTACTGTTTGGCCTTGAGGAAAGCACAGCTTACAATATCCCTGCAACTGTAAGACTTGCTGGACAAGCCACCAGCACTGCAATCCACAAAACTTTGCCAATGAAGGGCTCAGAAGATGAATGTTAACCGTCAACTCTGACCAATTTGCTACGCAGACTGCCTCAATCCATTGCAAACAATGGATCAGATCGCACTAGCTAACAACCAGGAACTTCGTCAATATCAACAACAAACCCTGCGCATTCCCAGTTGAAGCATCCACATCATCACTGAAAGCCCACACAATGTATACATCAGCCAGAAGCCTTTAGCGCTGGTTAGTATAAAGGAAGCACAAACTCCAGCGGAAGACATTCGGAAGTCTATAATACTTCGGAAGAACTGTATGGCATCCGATTCACTGAGACCATCACTCAGGCAGGACTACCAATCCATTGTGCGGTTAGAAAGAGTTCCGCTACTGCACAGCCTAAACACTAACGGCGCCATCCTCCCTCACATTCCCTGAGCAAACCCGGTTAGTAAGAGTGTTTAGCAAACGTACCGCTGACAAGCGTTTATCCCTCCACAGGAGCGTGAGTTGTGGGGTTAGTGTGTCAAAGCAGGGATGTCGCTCTACATAGAACCATCGTTGGAATGTCGATACCGACGCTGGTCGCAGAAATGAAAAGACGCCCGATGGTTTTAAGAGACGACATATTCAAGGCAAAAGATAGGCTCGATAGACGAACGAGTTAGTAAAGTCCACACTTCGGGTCAGTAAATCCATTGGTTAGTAGCTTTTTGTGTGCGAACCAGGCAGGCCAGCCGGTAAGCCCGTTGGCCAGGCAGTCCGCGCAGAGTAGAGCAGCCGGTTTAGTCAGCAGACGAGCCCGGCAGATCCAGTCCGGGTGTGGGCATGCCTGTGTACAGACAGAGACTCACAGTTCCTCCTTGGCCGGAGTCTTTCCAGGCACTGTCCCCTGCTCCTGTTCTGTACCAGACTCCTGCTTCTCTGTCCGTTCAGGCTTCAGTACAGGGACCGGAGTGGGGATAATGGGAGGGTAAAGAATACCCTCCGCCGGACAAGCAGTGCTGATCGGCTCACTCTTGTTGTGGCAGTCGGTGGGCACAAACGATTTGTCCAGACAGAGTTTGATCTGGGTCAGGTACCACAGCTTGGTCTCCTGTGGGCGACACGGGTAGGCGGGGTCAGACATGGGACGTCAGTGAAATGAATGACGTGGTTATTAGCAGTCGCTTGGGACAGCCAAACAGTTTGTTTTGTCAGATATATGCACCATAATGTGAAACGTTTAACGCTAGCATAAGTTTGCACTACGTTCATAAATTTTACAGTACAATCGCTGTGTGCATGCTGTTGAATATTCGTGTTAGGCTTCATCCGTACAGTAATACGCTATAATTGACAACAGTCTCGACGTCAATTTTGGCTCCTGTTTCCGTTTCTACCAAACACAACATCGAGCCGAATAAAACAAGACCGACGAGCCCGACAAACTCTTCCCTCTCTCACACCTTCACTCCTCCCCCCTCCCAGTATTCCTCCACCTACCCGGTCCAATTCACAGTCGACAATCATCTTCGTGCTGAAGTGAGCCGTCAGGGCGTCGCGGATCTGCGCCCACTGGAACCTGTCCGCTCCGGGCCGGACTCCAGCAGTCTCGAGCACGGACAGGGGCTGGTAGGTGGCCGACCAGTGCAGACCCAGCGCGAAGTAGTCGTGCTCGTCACCGATAGAGGGCAGCTCGGCAGCGCACGTGCCGTGCTTCAGCCACTCGTGCTGTCAGTACGGAAATAGGGTCGTTGTTATACTTCCTAAGCCACGATGACTAAACCGTTTGTGGCCATTTGCCCGGCAAAAGATCTAAATTGTGGCTGAATTCATGTGCCATCAAAGCCAAGATATCGAGACTTGCAAAAAGGTTGGGTGGATGACGATTACTCCCGAATTTACGACGGATTATTGGCTCATGGCCGATGTTACAACAAATACCGTGAGTGAAAACGGTAATGCTCGCTACAAGATGACATAACATAGTCTGCATCCCGAAACTGGCGGCTGCAAAGGGACCGTGCCTTCTTAGCGATCGAACTCAAATGACGGCGATTTTACCCAAATGACGATCGATACGCACCTTCCACAGCGAGTAGACCGACTTTCCGGCGTAGATGTTGGGCCACCTCATCAGCAGGCTGGGCTCGATCTGCCGCAGCTTCTCCAGGTCAAACGGTAGCTTCTGGCAGTTGTGCGGACCCTTTGTCCCGGCCTTGGTGGGCCTGGATGGATAGCAGGGAGGGCATAAATGTAAATCGTTGAGCTTTGCTACACATTGCATTGCCAATAACAACTCAACAGTCAACAACATACTAAATTCACTGGAAGAAAGTATGGATTACTGAACTCGCTTTGTAACAATCAGCTATGATTTTGATTTCTTGAAAAGCAATTATTGGACAAAAATGTTTGCCCCTAACTCGAACTCTTGAATGGACTTTCATTCATGATGCTCTGCCCTGAAATAAAGCTTTCTTGTCAAAAATTGAAGGAATGCAGATTATAGGGATTGTGTAATGTGTGTATCCCATTGTTGTGCCTGCATATCACATCATGACCATTTATCAATGCCCATCCATCCAAACTCACCACACCCCATGCACTGTCCATGAGGTGACATTGCTGAAGATCTCACAGGCACGCTGGCTGTTCTCCCCCTTGTAGGCAATGCAGGCTGACTGCGGCCACTCCTGGGTGAAAATAAGGTAGTCCCAGTTGCTGGGTGGTGGTTCCACCTCAGCTTGAACTCCCCAGCAACAGCTGGGGGAAGAGAGGAAAAATCATGCATGAGCCATAAGCTGACAGTCAAAGAAAACATCCCGATGAGCAAAACGGGACACCACACAAGATTTCCAGATTTATCAGCTTTAAGCATAGAACATCTTCTTCAGAATAACTGAGCTTTGCTCCAACAACTTTGGCAATGCTTACCATATTATGGCATGAAGGAAAATGAATGTGTGCCATGCTGAGACAAGTGAAACCATAACCAGGCTGGGCCTTCTCACAGAGTTGCTAATACCTGGAAAAGAAGGAAAGCAATAATTGCATATGGTTCATGGTTTAGTGATAATGTTTTGACTCACAACTTCACTTGTCTTATTTAAGGCCATGAGTCATTTTCAGTTACCATCATGTCTTTCCGAACTGTTAACAAAATGAACCATACCGGTGACAGGTGCAAGCACGTCTCCGACCATCATATCCCATGGGCATATGGGGCATATCATCCCCAATGGGCATATTTTATTATATCATTTGAAGAAATAAAACTGTAGGCTGGCACCAAAATGTCAAAATTAGCTACAATTGGAACTGGAACAGAATCACCCATGACCCAAGTTGAAGTGCAAATAGCTGACAAAGCACAACAAAACTGATAAAACATAACTTTGATTATAATTTTATTAATGAAAGCAGTAAGTAACAAAAAGGTGTCAGGTACACCAGCTCATGTTATCAAAAACATATCAAATGCTATCCGATCTTTCACTTTCTTCGTTCAGGGAAGTTTGTTGATGTTTTGCTTGTATAAAATTTCCTGTAAGTCTATTGACGTCAGAGAGCTACCATATGAGCATGGTATAAGACCTCATTTTGGATTGGAACACTTTTGATCGAAATCGAAAGGATATTAGTGAATCATTATTCTGACAGTGAAATAATTCAGTACTCTTTGTGTTTATTTTATACAAAAAACATGCGATAGCAAAGCGATTTATAATATTATAAATTTAAATTCAAGGTAGAGCTATATGAAGCGGATGTGATACTTGCACTGCTGCCATATATTACGTCACATAGTTGACCACGTGCGTTCGAGTAGTAGGTATCTTGCGTGCCGCGTGCGTTCCAATTGTGTGTTTCTCTGGCATTGTGTTGTCTCTCTTGATTTATTCGTATTTATTATTTGCCATTACATACACATACCTGCCACGTTGTGTTCTTCCATGAAGATATAGTTGCCACAGAATTTGCGCTGATAGTCTTGATCACAATAGGTAGGTAGGTAACAGGCTGGGTGTGGGTTGTCGCGGAGGCGCGGAAGGAGAGAAGACTGAGCGGGCCGAGACTTGTATTGCGACTGTGGTTCTGATTCTGATTCGCCAGTGCCTGTGCGTTATATGCAGGGTGGTTGCACAATGAAGGACCGGTCCGCCGACCCGCCGGGTCGGTGGACGGTGCCGACACTTGGGGAAAGTGACGGCTATTTCTATGTAACAAAGCTTGCACGTGTACTCTCTTTATCATGATATGGAAGAAGGGAATCGGTCCCACATTATCTTCCCTCCCCCAGGGAAGCGTAGGGAACCGAAGCGATCATAACAAAGAGAGGAAACGTTTAGCTGACGGAGAAAGAAATGTCCATATCAGCGTATCACAAAATGGTATGAACAGATAAGTAAGTTTCGTGACAATTACACCTACTACCGGGCGATCCCTCCGCACTCTTGGCGGGGACCGTCCCTGGGCATCTCCATGGCCCTCGGCATCTCTGGCCGAATATCAATACAATATAATTTCAGTGAATTGACCACGATTAACGTATTTGAATGTTCATACCGTTGAGAGCAGGCTCTTTTTACGTTTACTAGTGTCAAAATGACACGGCAAAGTGCAGGCAAAAATTAAATGCACTTGCAATTTCTCCGTAAATTTTGGGGTGAGCAACCACAATGAAGCACAACAAACGACAGAACACTGACGAAAACGGATAATGAAACAGTACGGTTTTTGAAACACATCGAAGTTAAAACAAATTTCACAGCACAATTTCACTGTCACTTTTTGACGAAAATACAGCAAAAGTTCATAATGGGTGAATTTTCTTGATTTCGGTGCCAATTTGTCTTGAATTTAGCGTTGAAGTTTTTGTTTTATCTTCTCTCCTCCGAGCTTGAGTCCTTCAGCGAGGTGGTGTCCATCACTCGATGATGCTGAGGAGGACGGCGCGGGCTGATGAGCCGTGCGCTGTCAGCGGGCTCCGTAGTAGTCCAGGGCAGCTGATGACGTTGCCGCAGGGCAGATGGTATTGCCGGGCAGAGCTACTCACTGGAGACGGTGCTGCTGGACGATGACGAGTCCAGGATGGTCAGCTCCCTAGTCGATGACGCGACGTAGGGGCGATACACTGTCACGGAGCACGGACTAACCAGTCTGCGATGTCAGTGCAGATGTAGAGGCTGGGGTCCGTGGTGAGGGGCACAAGTCCCCTCGACCGCCGCTGCCACCATTGTCGCGGAGGCGCGGAAGGAGAGACGACTGAGCGGGCCGAGACTTGTATTGCAACTCTGGTTCTGATTCTGATTCGCCAGTGCGTCTGCGTTATATGCAAGGTGGTTGCACAATGAAGGACCGGTCCGCCGACCCGCCGGGTCGGTGGACGGTGCCGACACGTGGGGAAAGTGACGGCTATTTCTATGTAACAAAGCTTGAACGTTTACTCTCTTTATCATGATATGGAAGAAGGGAATCGGTCCCACATTATCTTCCCTCCCCCAGGGAAGCGTAGGGAACCGAAGCGATCATAACAAAGAGAGGAAACGTTTAGCTGACGGAGAAAGAAATTTCCATATGAGCGTATCACAAAATGGTATGAACAGATAAGTAAGTTTCGTGACAATTACACCTACTACCGGGCGATCCCTCCGCACTCTTGGCGGGGACCGTCCCTGGGCATCTCCATGGCCCTCGGCATCTCTGGCCGAATATCAATACAATATAATTTCAGTGAATTGAACACGATTAACGTATTTGAATGTTCATACCAACTTCAGAATATGCTCTTTTTATGCTTATTAGTGTCAAAGTGACACTGCAAAATGCAGGCAAAAAATTAAGCGCATTTGCAATTTCTCCGTAAATTTTGGGGTGAGCAACCACAATGAAATGCAACAAACGACAGAGCACTGACGAAAACGAATAACGAAACAGTTTTGAAACAAATCGAAGTTGACACAAATTTCACAGCACAATTTCACTGTCACTTTTTGACGAAAAAATATAGCAAAAGTTCGTAATCTTCAAATGCTGTTGATTTTGTGCCAGTTTTTCTTGAATTTAGCGGTTTTCGTCTTCTCTCCTCCGAGCTTGAGTCCTTCAGCGAGGTGGTGTCCATCACTCGATGATGCTGAGGAGGACGGCGCGGGCTGTTGAGCCGTGCGCTGTCGGCGGGCTCCGTAGTAGTCCAGGGCAGCTGATGACGTTGCCGCAGGGCAGATGGTATTGCCGGGCAGAGCTACTCACTGGAGACGGTGCTGCTGGACGATGACGAGTCCAGGATGGTCAGCTCCCTAGTCGATGACGTGACGTAGGGGCGATACACCGTCACGGAGCACGGACTAACCAGTCTGCGATGTCAGTGCAGATGTAGAGGCTGGGGTCCGTGGTGAGGGGCACAAGTCCCCTCGACCGCCGCTGCCACCATTGTCGCGGAGGCGCGGAAGGAGAGACGACTGAGCGGGCCGAGACTTGTATTGCAACTGTCGTTCTGATTCTGATTCGCCAGTGCCTGTGCGTTATATGCAGGGTGGTTGCACAATGAAGGACCGGTCCGCCGACCCGCCGGGTCGGTGGACGGTGCCGACACTTGGGGAAAGTGACGGCTATTTCTATGTAACAAAGCTTGCACGTGTACTCTCTTTATCATGATATGGAAGAAGGGAATCGGTCCCACAGGGTGACATCTTTAGATCTTTTCTCTGCACTATATAGGAACTAAACTGGTGTGATTCCTCCATTCTGTCGTTTCCATGATTCCATCCTCAGGATACTGAAATCTTTCTCCATGCCGCAACCCCCACTCTTGGCTGGACAGGCACCTCTCTCATGCGGGCTGCTCCCTTGGAGCGGGCTGCTCCCTTGGTCGGCCTGCCCATTTGGATGGGCTCAGCCCCAGCGACTCTCTAGGGTGTCTGCCCAGACCAATGTCTCCCCCTAATTCCGATCATCCTTCTGGCTCTGAAATGGTCTTGTCAGACAGAAAGGGCCTAACCCAACAAAGCAATAAAAACAAAACTGGTGTAATTGGCTAGTGTTCCAGGTACATACTTTGGTCAGTTTTCTACTTTCATGAGTTTCACTGAAGACAAGACGGGTGACCGGTGATGCCTACTAAGTCTAACACTAAAATTAAATTGCCCATGCAATCAGAATCACCTGAAGCATGAATAATTGATGCCTCACAAGGCACCTGACCTGATGCAGATTATATGATCATTGATCATAATACCTTGCCATTATTTTTCATACCCATTACAAATGACATACCTACTGGTATATGTAACCAGTGTCCTAAGAATGAATAAGTGAAGACTGAAGATGCTTTGTATTTCCTACTGTTTGTCAGTTTATCATCAGTTAGCTCTGTCCCAATGGTTGAGATTGCTTTCAATAGAAGTTACACATTTTTTCCTTTTTTAGCATGCTGTTTCTGCCATAAGGACTAAGGTCCAGTGCCCCAAAATTTGTTAACCTATTTGAGTGGGAAACTACATCCAAAAAAATCAAAATAATTTTGCACTCACCTCAATTTTTTTTTAGATAAATTGTTCACCCCGATTTTACAGGGAAAAGATATTTGTGTGGATGGTCTTTTTACATTACATATTTGGCCACACTGGTATCAAATATAATGCTATTGATCTTTCTACTCTTGATTTATTGATCTTTTTGTACTCTTTTTCAGTCTTTCTGACTGGTGATTTTTCACTCTCATCCCCTTTTTGGAGAGGAGTTTCCCCTCTGACACTGAAGCCAAAATACCATTTTGGGACACTGCTAAGGTTACTTTTTATCTCCTTGTTTACTTGGGTTCCATAGCATTTACGCCACTTTAAAGATAAACTGATGCATTGACAGCTTTGTTTGACCAAGATGATTTGTAAAAGATGAAGAAATAATCATATGCCATCTCAGGTGCAGTGAAAAAATCATGGTCAAATGTCCTATTATTGCCAATGTGTGGGCTATTTCATCCAAGGACTGTCTTTGGATTCCGATATTCTCTTGGTAATCATGCAAACTCGTTTATTTCCAGTTGGCTGAGTAGCAGTTAATCACCATGTCGTCTGAGTCTGACACCATTGAACGGCTGGTGGACCAGCGGTTCGACTCGGGCCCCTCTCTGTCGTTCCCCTGTGGCGACCCGGACCCGGGGGCCGAGGGGGACGCATCTACTGACCAGTCGGCGCCGCTGCCGTGTCTCTGTTGTTCCGCCGAGTTCCCGTCCTCCGACCGGGACGCGCTCTCCGCCCACCTGCTGTCCGAGCACTGTCTGGTCGTGGCCGACCTGGCCCTGGTGGCCGACCTCGACCAGTACTGCCGGTACTGGGCACCTCGACTGTGTGCCGACGGCGGCCTCCGAGAGTACTGCTTCACCGTGCTCACCAACACGGGTCCCAGCGACGCGGCGCCCTCCGAGGAGTACTTCCTGCTGTCGCCCTCCTTGTTTACTCTCCTTGTTTACTTGGGTTCCATAGCATTTACGCCACTTTAAAGATAAACTGATGCATTGACAGCTTTGTTTGACCAAGATGATTTGTAAAAGATGAAGAAATAATCATATGCCATCTCAGGTGCAGTGAAAAAATCATGGTCAAATGTCCTATTATTGCCAATGTGTGGGCTATTTCATCCAAGGACTGTCTTTGGATTCCGATATTCTCTTGGTAATCATGCAAACTCGTTTATTTCCAGTTGGCTGAGTAGCAGTTAATCACCATGTCGTCTGAGTCTGACACCATTGAACGGCTGGTGGACCAGCGGTTCGACTCGGGCCCCTCTCTGTCGTTCCCCTGTGGCGACCCGGACCCGGGGGCCGAGGGGGACGCATCTACTGACCAGTCGGCGCCGCTGCCGTGTCTCTGTTGTTCCGCCGAGTTCCCGTCCTCCGACCGGGACGCGCTCTCCGCCCACCTGCTGTCCGAGCACTGTCTGGTCGTGGCCGACCTGGCCCTGGTGGCCGACCTCGACCAGTACTGCCGGTACTGGGCACCTCGACTGTGTGCCGACGGCGGCCTCCGAGAGTACTGCTTCACCGTGCTCACCAACACGGGTCCCAGCGACGCGGCGCCCTCCGAGGAGTACTTCCTGCTGTCGCCCAAGCTTGACGAGGACCGGCTGCTGCGCGAGCGGCTGCAGCGCGCCCGCCTGGAGCGCGTCCTTGCCCGGCAGCAGCGCGAACGTACGATGACGTTCAGTCGCGGCTGTCTGTTCTGTCGGCTGCAGTACTCCGGCAGGCTGGCCGGCTTCTTCGACCACCTGGCCGAGGCGCACAACTTTAGCGTCGGCCGGCCAGACAACATCGTCTTTGGGCCCGAGTTCATCGACGCCATCGAGGCCAAACTGGAGGCGCTGCGGTGCCTCTTCTGTGACGGCGTCTTTCCCGACCGCGCCACGCTCAAAGAACACATGCGCAAGAAGCAGCACAAGTGTTGCGGGAGCTGAACACACTCAGACTCGATGCTTTACTGTATTATCGGCAGAGGCCCAAACAAGAACCACAGAGCCAACCGCTCGTAACCACGGTCTCCCTGCCTCTCTCGGGCCGCCGACCGCCCAGCCAGCGCCAGCCCTCGACCCCGCCCGAGGGCCACGCGGCAGGGGCGGCGCCGGGCGCGGCCAGCCGGGGAGGCGCCACGGGCGGCGCCAGGCATGCCACAACGGGCGGTCACAGCCGCCCGTAACACCCCTCCCCCACATGAGCACGAGTCATCCCACGAGCACGAGTGACCCCCCGCATGACAACCACACCAAAAACAGCCTCAACAAAACACAACAACAACAAAAACGACAACTTCGAATCATACATTCATACACACCGTCCCGAGCGCCCTCACACATGTCGCCTAGCGTCGGCCGCGCCTGAGCCACCCCGGCAGGTAGTCCATCAGTCGCCGGTAGCCGGCGGCGCTGAGGTGGACCCCGTCAGCCGAGAAGAACCTGCCGTCCATCTTAAAGCGCCGTTTCCTCCCCTCCCGCCGGCAGAGGCGTCGGCCGAGCGCGACGAAAGTGGAGTCGGTCTCGCGGCACAGTTCGCACAGCGCCCGTTCGAGCCAGAAGGCCGGGGTGGACTCCCACACTCTGCCACCGTCGCGGGCCGGCCGCGGCGTCACGCCGAGGATGGTCACGGCGCAACCAAGGCTACGGGTGTCGATGATGGTCTCCTTCAGCCGCCCCAGCGTCGCCACCACCGTGACCGGGTCGAAGGCGGCCCCCCTTGGGTAAACGTCATTACCGCCCAGCCATAAGATGACTTGGAGGTCCGTCAGCTCCCCTTTCCCACAGACCCACGCCCTTACTTCGGTCGCGCTTGACCGCAGCCAGCGGCTCAGAGTCAGCCCGGGGACCGCGCACACGGACAGGCGCCGAGGGGGGTCACACCGGAAGTCCGCCCTGCTCAGCATAGAATCTCCTATTAAGAGCACGGCGGACCCCGGCGGACCAGCCTCCGGCGAACCGCCGGACCCCTCAGCGATGTCCCCCAAGCCAAAGTCCGTGTCGATCGGGTCGCCCAGAATCTCGCCCAATATGTCGGCACCGTCGACCCCGACTGAAGCCCCCGCCAGGATGGCGGCGGCCGGAGATACCGGCTCGCCCAGAATTTCGCCCAATATGTCGGCACCGTCGACCGCGACTGAAACCTCCGCCAGGATGGCGGCGGTCGGAGATACGGGTGGTCGTCCGCCGCCCTCCTCGCCGTCTCCCGGACGTCTCCTGTCAGGAGACGGGAACGATTCTCCATCTGGCTGCGTCCCCCACATGGCTTCACCCGCGGCACCACCATCCGCGGGTGGGACCTCCACCACCACCTCCACCAGGTCCGAGTCCGACGGCGCCGGCGACGACCACAGTGCGGAGGACGGCATCTCCGTCACCACCTCAGTCAGCTCCGCGTCCTGCTGCACGATCAGCGGCAGCCCGGCGTCCGCGGAAGGCATACCACCTCCCGAGAGCCCTCTGAGGAGACCCTGAAGCTGTTCCTCCAGTCGCTCGCGCTCGGCCCTTTCCTCGGCAACAGCCGTCCAGAGGCTGTCTAGCTCCAGCCGCGTAGGGTCCATCTGAAACTTAAAAATACAATCACCTTTTGGTTCCCGAGCACTTCTTAGCAGCACAAGTCAATATCTGCCCACCCACCCTACTTGATGTAACAGGGTCTTCCACTACTTTCGGTTTCGATCAGGAGGGACCAAATTTGATTTCCCGCCTGAAACCTTTGACACACATCCTGACCTAGTCACATAATAGACCGGTCACGCTCCTGTTCTGCCGCAAAACCGGATCGAGAAGACACATCGGTCGAGGTGGGTCAGCGCTGGAAGCGACTAACGGGCACCCACCTCGACTGCGGCCTCCCCTCCTCACGAGGGACACCTCAACTTTGTGACCCCGGTGTCCCGGACCTCAGCTGACCAAGACGCCCCACTGGGCAGTCCCGCCGAAAATGGTCAGGAGCACCACACCCGTAACACCCGCTAGTTTTGGACGTATCAGGGCTGAAACGAGCAACAGTGAGTGCCTCCAAGGACGACTGCAGCTGCCCAACCCCCTGTTGAAGCTGACTTACTGTGTCCTGGAGCATCGCGCGCTCAGTTTCGGCGTCACGCTAGGCTAATGCTACCGACCCACTCGATGTTCGTTCCGTATCAGTGTTTCCTCCTTTATGTTTCAATAACTTTTACCTGTCTCATACAGGGGCCGCGCATAGTCGAGTGCGACACCATCCAACAGAGGCAATAGCCGTTTACCCTATCAAAAAAGCACGACGCTGTCTCACAGGCTAACCGCCTGCGATACTACTCAGTCTCTAAATAATAATAATAAATAATCAAGGCTAACCGCCCCGAAAAATGCCTGCGGTAACCCTACCGTCCCCTCATCCACCACTGATCCGAGCAGACCGCTCGGCTCCGGCCATTAGTTAATCGGCTACAGTCTAAACACAATCATGCCAAACGATAATAACACAACAGACTCACCGTTGCCGTCGCCGGTCCTACCGACCGCGCCAAATGTTGCGGGAGCTGAACACACTCAGACTCGATGCTTTACTGTATTATCGGCAGAGGCCCAAACAAGAACCACAGAGCCAACCGCTCGTAACCACGGTCTCCCTGCCTCTCTCGGGCCGCCGACCGCCCAGCCAGCGCCAGCCCTCGACCCCGCCCGAGGGCCACGCGGCAGGGGCGGCGCCGGGCGCGGCCAGCCGGGGAGGCGCCACGGGCGGCGCCAGGCATGCCACAACGGGCGGTCACAGCCGCCCGTAACACAAGAAGATCAACCCGGCGCACACGGCGTTCGACAAGTTCTACGTCATCAACTACCTCGAGTTCGGCAAGGGCTGGCAGGAGATTCAGCAGGAGCGTGACGAGGGCCCTCCGACCGGTTTCGACGAGCCGGGCTCTGACGACGACTGGTCCGATTGGACGGAGGCCCCCTCATCCGGCGCCGTCTGCCTCTTCTGCGAGTTCTCCACAATCGACGTGGACGCACTCTCCGCACACATGCGTGCAGAGCACCAGTTTGACTTCCCCGAGCTCAAGTCGCGCCTCCGGCTCTCGTTCTACCAGCAGGTGAAGCTCGTCAACTACATTCGTCGGCAGATGGTGGAGCGCGCGTGTCTCTTCTGTCAGGAGACACTCCCGACTCGCGCGACTCTCCTAGAGCATCTCCGCGCGGCCGACCACCTGCGGGTACCCGAACCTTCAATCTGGGACCAGCCGCAGTACTTTTTCCCCACGTATGAGAACGACTCACTGCTGTACGCCCTGGAGGAAGCGGAAGGCGTAGACGATGATGTGCCCGTGTTCCCTGAGGACGCAGTCGATGTTCGGCAGTCGGTACTGGCAGACAGCGCTGTCAGACAGGAGCTCGGAGGTCACGCGTGACGCGGTGTGACGCTTAGTGCTAAATCGTGACGGCTTGTGGCGCCTCTGTGACGATGGCGTGGAGGGTATACACGGTGCAATCAACGGAGTGACTTGATATAGGCGAGCTGTGAAACTTGATGAAATGTGTCTGCAGCAGAGAACCGAAGTTTGCGTTGCGATCAGCAGTCGACACGCACTAAAACCTCAGACGGATAAACGTGGTGAGTACATATTGTGATGAGCCTGGGTGCTTTGGGCGGGAAGGACGCGTTTCAAGTATTTCCACCTCCAAATAAGTCTGCCGTTCTTGTGCTATTGGGAGCTGATGCAACCTAGCACAGCCTCTCTTGCCATCCCTGTGTGAAAATGTTAAACAGCAGCGTAGCGTTTCAACAAGACCAATGCTTATTACATATTGCTCAGGTGTATGCGTTGACGTCCAGTAATAGGGAGGTGGCACTCCAAATTTAAAGTATTGTAATACTGAAAAGGGTTATTATTCGGAGGCATAATTATCGATGCCCCGCTTAGTGCTTGCTTTCGAAGGACTCATGTTATGTGTGTGGTTTTATGCCGTTAATGATTAGCGATGTTCTGTTTTGACTGTATCTGCAGTGGTTTTGTTGACTTACCTTCCGTGTTCCACTTCCACGCGTTACGATGTGCAGCCAAATGATAGACCGCAACACTGCTTCAACATTTACGCACTCCGGTTTTATAACAAATTTGTGCAGCTCGACCGGGTTGGGCCGGTGCGCAGTCTGTGCGCATGTTTTTGTGAATTTGCTAAAGTGCTTTGCAAACGGGTTTTGAGTTAAGATTGTCCCAAACCTGCGGCTGACCGCACAATCGAACGATAAAGGCTATATCGCATGCCCCAATATTGTGTGGTATCTTGCGGTAAATGCCATTCTCTATTCTGTCTGGGCTCGCATTTGGTTTTCACTAGCAAAAGCTTCCAACTGTTTGTGTATATTTATACCCTGGCTGAATGTCAAGGAAAATATATGTGCTGACGGAATTCTTTGTTTAAAAAATATGATATGAAAGACCGAGGGATTACATTCGCGACATTGTATCGCAATGGCAATGATAAGACCGTACAGTCAGTCTTAAAAGTACCGCGCAACAGTGCGGGGGATCCGTCAAGCCCGACCGTGGAAGGACTATTAAATTTGAGTCACCGAAGCAATTGATATCCTCGTCCATTCCCCAGGTCAATTGATTCGGTGACTTTCAAATTATACCAGGCCCTTCCTCGGTCAGGCTTGGTGGATCCGCCGGTACTTACCTTCTTTGTGCGGTTTTTATAAGACTGGCTTTACTAGGCACCCACTTTAAAGATCACAAACGATATCCATCATCCATCCGGCATATACCTCTAGTCGGAAACCCACCCAAGTCATCATTTAAACGCGCTTCGGTGTCCTTTTGCTGATCGCGTGCTACGCTTCACATTCCCTCTCCTCTAACTCGTAACCTCGCCAAACATCTGTGTAACGGGTAATAAGCATTGTTTATTCGATCCAGATTATGTACAAAATAGAAAATTATAAATACTACATCGGCACGTTCGCACTGCACAAATATCGCCAAGCCTCTCGGTCGCCCTACCGACCGACCCATCAGAATACACCAGCCTCGAACTCAGCAACTAAACGGAACGAATGGAACTGCGCGCGCGACTGGAGGGGGCACGGGGTCCGCCGCTGCGGCGGGCACCCTGGGGGTGTCTGTGACACCCTCGGTGACTACTGTATAACGAGATCACTGCCAGAGTTCAACGCTGTACACATGGGCGCGGCCACCGCGCGGCAATGGTACAGCTATCACGTCCGCTTCACAGAGTCGCCGGCCGGCGCGCGACGACAGAGACTCGTTCTGGGCTGAGCCAGTGAATCACTTAGTCACTAAATGAGTGTGAGTCATTCAGTCAATGAGCCGGTAAAACTCACAGCGGCTTAGTCATTGAGACTGAACCAGCCGCTGAGTCAGTGCGCTGCTCAGTCACTAAGTTGTGTCAGTCACCTGATTCACTGACTCACAGCAAGTCGTACGGCTGCTCAGTCATTGAGTCGTGAGTCACTGAGTCTACGAGTCGTACATAAGTCACTGAGTCGCTCCTCGTCCCTCACGGCCCTCCGACACCCTCGCGGCCATCTGTCGCGGTCGGGCGGCCCACAGTGGGATTACTGAGACTCTGCGAGCATCACACTGGAGGGCCCCGAGGCGGCAGTTTGCTCGATTTGCGGTGCCAGAGTCGCGAGAACACTGGAATACCACCGGAGGCCCACGTCTTCTTGGCAGCCGCCTGATGGTGGAAGAGAGGAGTCAGGTTAGGACATCGTAAACGCACTGGCAGTAGTAGACGTACGACGCAGACGAATTGTGTAAACATGATATCTAGAGTTTACCTTTTTACCATAATTCGGTCTTATGTATTCATAAGACATTGCAGCATTGAGCTGTCTCGTTATATACGTTTAATTCGAGTAGCTCGTCAGCCGGTTTAGCTAGAACAGATAGACATCCTCTGAATTAACTAACATGTTACCTAACAATATTGAATGCGCAAATTCATATCATCTGATATTGCGTATTGCGTACAACGAATTGTGCCCCTCCTATCCCACTGCAGATGTGACACTATCCCTACCTTTGCGGTGATTTCTGCCCGGAGGCTATCACTGGGGTCACCGACCCTGGCCAGACGGCCCTGCGGGTGACGGCTCTCGGAATCCCGACGGGAACTGGCCTTGTGCGCCGGCGAGCCTGCAAACAAACATAATTGACAGGTCAGAACAGCAGTAAGACGAGTTAGCATGGAGTCAATATAGACCGCTACAAAGGTTATCTATGATTGTGATCTATGAACTTGTTGGCTGTAATTGAACAAACATATTCTGTGAAATTATATAGTAAATCGTTCGAGCAAAACACATCAGTCCATACAGAGCAAAACCTTTGTGAATCGGGTTGTGATCTTGTGAAATGTGTCACTAACATTACACAATCGTATTTTATGAACAGTCCCAAAATCCAGCAGCCACACTGACCTGCCTGCACCTGGCCGTTTTTCCTGTTGAGCCGCGGCTCCTCCTCCGACTCCTGACTGGACTCGAGACTCGAACACTCGCTGGGTGGCAGCGCGCTCTCGTAGCCGGCGCTCTCCGCCGCCTTCCGCTTCTTCTGCGACTTCCTCAGGCCGATGCCGGAGTCGTTGCCGCTGTCGTAGCCACTGGAGACGTTCGGCAGGAAGGCCGGCAGCGTGGTGTCACAGCTGAAGTTGTACGCACCGCGCTGCTGCCAGTCGGCGGCTTTCTCGTCCGTTCGCCGCGCTGTACGGTCCGGTTTACCGGAGATCAGCGAGGGCACGCGGTCGGACCGGCCTCGCGCCGCCTCGGTCCCTGATGAAACCGACTCACTGTGCGGCTTCCGATCACGCTCTTTGGTCTTCTTGCGGTCTTCGGCGGCCTTCTTGTCGGTCTTCTTGTCCTTCTTGAGACCGCGCTCTGGGTAGCGTGGCGAGCAGATGGAGCCACACACCTCAGCGCTCACATATCGACCTTTGGCCAGTTTGGAGGGACTGCGCGAGGCGCTGCGGCCGCGGCCAAACAGACGCCCCAGTCGACTGCCCTTGGGTTTGACCATCGCCGGCTGCTCGGCCGCCGCGCTGGCCCGCCGCTCCTCAGCTCCTCCCGTCTGAGGAGCGAGGGGCGGCTCCGCCGAGCCCCTCTCACTGCTCCGCTCCGGGAGGGGGTCCGGCACGGTCCTCGGCGGCGCCCTACCGCCACCACCCGCCTCCTCATCCGACCCAGAGGCTCCGTTCCCCGGCAGTCGCTCGTCGAGCCGGTCGGGCGCCGGCGGCGGCGGCTGCAGCGGAGAGGTGCCGGTCGCGGGGGCCGGCGCCGGTGGAGGGGGCTCGTCATCCAGCACCAGGCTGTCGTGTTTGGAGAGGTTCGGGTTGGACGCTCCGTCCGGGTGACGCAGCGAAGATAGGTTGGAGAAGGTCGGCAGGTAGGGCGTAATGTCGCTCTGGATCTCGAAGTCGTCACCGATCTGGTCGAGCTCCTCGTTCTGCTTCTGTCGACAGCTATCACAGATGTACTCTTCACCTGGAGGTGAAAGAGAGAATATACAGTCAGTGAAGGACGAAAGGGTACAAGAAAATGCTAAATCTGACGGCTTCATCCTCTCATTCCAAAGCGAATAAAGTGTGATAGGCCAAGTTACTGACAGAGATTAATGCTCAATAGATCAGATACGATAGAAACATGATTTTAGCTCATCTCCGCTGTCTGTCGTCTGGAACGTATCTTCATCTCCATTTAAATCTTACACATCGGATTTGACATCATATCTGATACCTATCTCCATCACATGCTCAGGTATGACCCGTGCGGCACTTGTGTCCAGCCCAGCGCCCACCCATCGGCAGTCATCATCATGATCATCATCCTCACCTTCGCTCTCCAGGTCAGGCAGCAGCGCCAGCCAGTCCTTGATGCTCTTCACATAGTTGCCGTGCCTCAGGGAGTCGGTCTTTTTGAGCGTCTTGCAGTGGAGGCAGGCCACGGGCCGGACAGGCTCACTACACACGCTGTTTGTCTCACTGCGGTCTCCGCCAAACAGCTCGGTGATGAGCGGGGTGCTCTGAGGCGGCGGCAGCGGCGGCTGTGACGCCAGGCCTCGGTAGAAGTCGTGCAGCCTGAAAAAAAGAGAGGTGTCAGACAAGGACGACACAACAGTGAGTAGTCAGACCGTACTGGCTAGACGAGTTAGTGAATGGGTGAATGAATGAATGAATGAATGAATGAATGAATGAATGAATGAATGAATGAATGAATGAACAAACGAATGAATGAATGAATGAATGAATGAATGAATGAATGAATGAATGAACGAATGAATGAATGTATGAATGAATCAATGAATGCATGAATGCATGAATGAATGAATGTGGCTTCAATGAATTGTGGTAAATACAAAAAAAAATATTTCCCAACATGCACAAAGTCTATAGTTTATACAATTTAAACATTTCAGACAAGGTTTTCTGTTTCCCTAATCCTAATCTCTGAAATACCTTACCCTGCCGCTCCTACCTGCTGATTTTCTCCAAGCGATGGTTGGTCAGGCTGAGGTCGTCACAGAGCCGGTCGTAGTCGGGAATCTCCAGCATGTTGAGCGGGTTGGTGCCGCACGAGCCGGGCACGTCGTACAGAGGGTCGCAGTCGGAGCCGCCGCGCAGGGTGTATGTTTCTGGAGGGGGAGAGAAAGGTTAATGGAGAGGGGCGTAGTACACCGACAACTTTATAGTAAACCGATCCTTACGATTGACATCACGGTAGATGCCATTAGCGAGAGAGAAATGGGAAGTGAGAAGACGAATACGATGAGAAAATATCAACGTAACTTAGATGGCAATACCCCTCAGAGCACGCCGAGTCAAATCGGTCCGGGTTAGGCTCAGGTGGCCACCTACCGGAGAAGCTCGATGCAGAGGTGAGGTTCTCCTCGCTGAGGGCGCGCAGTGGGTGACCGCTCTCGTCCAGCTCCGGGGGTGTCAGCAGCGGCGGCCGCGGCGGCAGACCCAAACAGCGCGCAATGTCCTCCTCAGTTACCTGGGGGAGAAACAGCAAGGCAAGGGTGAGACGCCGTACACTGAGCAAGCCTTAACCGGACACGAAGGTAATATGAGACGATAGACGGTAACACGAGGCACTGATGAGCGAAACATAGCCAGGCAAATGTAAACGACAAAATTCAGTAACGCTTCCTTCGCTCCTCTGAACCATGAGAACAAAGAAGAGAACAAAATCTCAAAGTCGAGAGACCCACATACCATAAAAAGAGCCGGAGGCTCGCCACTCAAATGAGCGACAGGTATCGTCTGAATGAGCCCCAATAGTAAGTCAGAACATGAGAAAATAAAGCACTCCTCGCCCTGAGAAACAAAACACGCGCCTCACCTGCACACACGAGTCGGCCATGGGCACCGGCTCG